CGGGCGCTCTTTTCTTCTTTTTTTCTTTTTTTTTTTTTTCCTTTTCTTCGTTATCAAATTTTTATCGACGCGCGAAAGCATTGGAATATGACGTTAATGTTATTTTTAAAAAAACGCGAAGCACTACTCATATGTTAAATTGAATGATATACAATGTCTAATTCAAGTGAAACTACAATAATTTAACGAAAATACATGGTTCTCGATCAAGATCGAGAATCATTGCAACGTGCCATGATATCGTCGTCAAGAAAGTCGTCAAGAAAGTGACTGAAAGAAAGAAAGTAGAAGATCAGAACAATATTAACACTAGAACTACCGACGACTAGAGCATAAAATTTTCCATCAGAATATAATAAATTACACAAGCTTTTATTCAAACATCTTTCGAAAAATTATTTAAATTTTTATTAAAAACACATTATTTTACGTTTGCAAGATTTCAAATAGCAAAGAATTATAAATCATTCTGTCCACTTTGGTAGTTTCATTGTTAATTTCGAAAATTTTAATTTCATCGCTAATTTCTATCACGGAAGTGCCAAAATTGAAATGAACGTAGCCGGAAGTCAAACGGTACTTTGAAGATTAATGTTCCTTTCGTCACTCGGATGACACAGCTTTTACAAAGCTTGAGGAATGGTTGAAATTGAAACAGAAACAATCTGCTTGAGGGAAAACACTCTGATGGATAAAGTCATTTACCGATAATCACCGTGATTAGGAAAAAGGAAAACGACTCGCAAGTAGATAATACCCGCGCGCGAACCACCTGATTACCCTCTTCTACGCAACGTTTTCACCGAGCGTGGCTAATCGCGAACCTTTCGGTCTACCGCGGAAAATTGCTAATGAAAGCGTGATTAATATCTTTATAACCTTCCTCGAAAAAACGGCTCGAATGAAAAATGCGACAACCTTTCATTTCTCTTCTTCCTTCTTCTTCTTCTTCTTCTTCTTTTTCTTCCTCAATTACCGCGTCCACTCTTACCAAACGTCTCCATTTCACGGATAAACGTTTTAATTTATTCGTAAAAGACATAAGTACATCTCAATCACTTTTATACAAGATTTGAATACTGTGATCTTCGTTGAAAAATTTTTCATTGATTTTTCTTTTTTTTTTCCAAGATAAGAAAAACGTTTTGCCAAAAAACATTTTTACTCTACGTTCTTTGCTGACTTTTCTCACGTGGAGTAATGTTGATTATTCATGTTCAGAATTGGCCAAGTCCAAGTACAGGATTGATGAATTTTCAAGCTCGATTTTCTCGAATATCGAAGGCTTTAGGGGGAAAAATTGTATTCTTTCTTTCCGACGTAATATACTACTCTTATCATCACTGACGTTTAAGACGATTCCCACTTTCGAAAGTGTTCCAAATTTAATATTTATTGCGTGAAAACACTCTCTAGAGAGATAATTGTTGACAATTAACACACGTGTCCGCGGGATGATCCCTCGTTGAACTTCGTTCAGTAATTTTGCACCTCCTCGAGGCTATTTCCGTTCCCTTTTTGGTTCCACCGTCGTGGAATGGCCGAAAACCAAAGGATAGAAAGGGGGAATTGATGCGTCTCGCTGGCACAATCGCCACGAATCGAGGCGAGGATTCAAAAGAGGGCGGAGGGAAACTTCGAAGTTTGGCAACACAGAGCCACGGCGCTGGAATTAATTCGGCGAATGGAATCTTTGTGCCCATGGCCACGAGAGCCTGAGGCCAGCGAAGAGAGTGAAGTTTCTTCGCGAGTACGCGCGGAACAATGGTTCGAACAACGGTTCCAGGAACGATGCTAATCCCCAAAATAAATCAAGATCGGTCGATTTTCCATCGTTGGCCAACGTACACGAGGTTGATGAAGTTGCAGTTTGTTTGCAATTTTGTCTCTTCAAGAGACAAACGGCTGAGAGATTGATCGGATCGCGTTGACGTGCCTCGAATGTTGAAAATTGAGACGGTCGGAAGATATATAACGGCGAGGTTGAAAGACGTCTCGGTTGGAAGATTGGGAAGGATCGGGGTTGCTTCGACGAATCAATCCAAATTATGGTACGTAAAGCCGTCGAAACATAAGATTTTGCAATTTGCTTGTAACGTAGGATCTTCATAAAAACGGAAATTTTTTTTTTGTACTTTGCGTCTGAATCGAATCGAATAAAAAAATTTAGACGAACGTTCTGCAACGAATTTTCTTCTTTGCAGAATGATATACTTTACAGATGTTACAGATGTTATCGTTTGGAATGTTAATACTATTATTATTCCTTACGTTCGTTCTGATCGACCTGATCCTAAACTTTCAAAAATAATCGATTCACATTTATGCAACGAATGCAACAGCAACTCGCATTTAACTCTTGAGAAAAAACGTATAAAAGTCTCAACAGAGGTGCACGAACTCGTGCCCGAGTTTAAACTCGCTCAAAAACTCGATTTCGTTCTTTTTCTTTTCTTTTTTTTCTTCGCCCGTGAAACATCGAGAACGAGACAATGCGAGACGGTACCGCCAAAAGGAAACATCGTTTCCGCAAAAGAAAGCGACCAGTCACCGCGCGGACGAAACAGAATTTTCATTTCTTGTCCATCGATGAACCACTGACCCGTTTCTTTTTTTTTTTTTTTTTTTCCTTCATCCTTCGAGAACAATGCGAACTCCCGTTCCGTTGCTTTATCATCGAAAAATCTCGATCGTAGGTTTCTGCCCGATCGATCGAAACGAAAACTACCCTCTCTCCCGAATAATCAGAATGGCCAGAGATTTACAAGTACGCAGAGATTCTCTTTGTTGCCAAAAAAAAAAAAAAATAAAAAAAGAATAAAAAAAGGAATTTGTCGCGAGAAGAACAAACAGTAGAGAAATATTCTTTCGCTTGTTTTTCATTCGCCGGCTCGTTCCGGTTTCCAAGCCGAATCGGCACGAATCGAAGGTGAAAAAGTAGGGGCGCGATTAATTCCGCTACGTGACCGGGGCCCGCTCGTCAAGGCGTAATTCAGTGATTGTTGAAAATGATGTTTGCCATACGTAATGGCGCAAAATCGATAGGCACGTATAAGCAGAGGGGAAATTAACGTCGTGCCATCCGGTACACAGGACCGTGTACCACCACGGCTAGATACAGCCGGCATCGAAACCCTCAATTTGCGGCGATAGCCTGAGCGCCTCTCTCCCTCGGCAAGGGACGACTCGTCGCGCCAGATCCATGATCCCTCGCTCGCTAATTACTACCTACGTCAAATTCCCCACCGATTGCGAACTGCTGCGTCGGACAACCGCAATAAAGATTTCGCCCGATTAATCGGGATTTCCACCCGTTGAAATCTTCGCCCGAGATCCCATCCAATGCGGCTCTCGCCTCGCCGCTGCTGGCCTCGCTAGATCAGAGGAACTTTACGCTACCATCGTGGATAGTAGCCTGCGTCATAGTAGGCTGCGTGCAGCGTCCTCAAACGTGTGTATTTTTGCGAAATTGAAGCGACTGTCGCGCAAAAAAATAGAAAAACGGAGAGGGAAATGATTGCGTAGTGATAATAACGAGGACACAGAGATCCGTAGGTCTAAATGCAAGTAGTCTTTTTTTAATTTTTTTTTTTTTGTTTTCTTCCCTTGTGCCACTCACTTTTCGTCTTTTACCTCTTCTCTTTCCTCTATCTCAGTTTCCTCTTCTTACGTCGAGTAAAACTTTCCGAAAAAATTTACGAAATTACGACTATCGAAGATCGTTTCCTTAAATTTCCAATCCTTTGGGATTCCTTTCCGAAAATGTCCTTTCTTTCGAAAGAGAACGAAAGAGAGAGAGAGAGAGAGAGAGAGCGTGTTGGAAAATATTTCGCTCGTGTTCTTTTCGGTCGCGTAACGACAAAAGGTCGCGATAAAAATGAAAGATTAAAGCTGAAACGCCAGTAACACTACTAAATGGCCCATAGAAAGTTTAGGTTAGCGCCGCATATGCGACAGCGTCGTATCCCTCCACGACGTCAACTCCATGGACAAGCAGCATTTCGTATCTATAGAATAGACTATTGGAAACAGTCTCGTTTCAACCACTATATTCCGAACATTCCGTCGTTCCTCAAGATCTGCCGTTTCTATTCTCTTTTATTCTGTTTATCCGCCTGTGCGTTCTCCGCTCGTTTGCATCGGAATTTCATGGAAATTCAAATGTAAAGTACCAGTTTAGAATGGCAGTTCAACGAAATGTTATTCTTTGACATCCGGAGGTCTTCCTAATTCTATCTTTCTTCCAAAGTGGGAAAGATTCGATCTGAACCAGAGCGTTTCTACCTCTCTCAAAAAATAAAATTAACTCGTGCTTTTATTCTAATTTGATTCAACGTCCGATTCACACCCAAAGTGTTTCAAATCCTTTTTTAGAACTCATCGGAGTCAACGGATTGAGTTTCCAAAATTTAAAGCCCAATAACATCCAAATATCAATATATCTCATATCATTTTTCATAAAAATTCCAACCTCAATTTAATTCAATACCTGACTGATGCCTAGAACCTATCTCCTGGAAGTAATCACAGCAACAGATTGAATTTCCAAAACTTGAAGCAAACAATATCCAAATATAGTTCGAATCGTTTCTCATAAAAATTCCAATCTTAATTTGACTTAACGCCCGACTGAATATCTAAAACCCTACCTACTGAATATAGTCGCGTTAACGGATCGAGTCCCCAAAATTCAAATTTCCAAACGCGATAACACTCACCAGTGTCATTTGCAAAAAGAAAAAAAAAAACCACTGCAACCATTTTAAATTCCCTCATTGAAAACGCTCTGTACGATATATTCCTCCGCGAGGAATTAATCTCTCGACGGGGTCGAATTCACAATGGCCCGGCGCAGAAAAGGAATAACCCGAACAAGACCAGGTGGAATCAGAAGTCGCGTCTCGGGCGCGAAAAGTCGAGGGCCCCCTCTCGCGATTTCTTCCGCGAGAGCCAGCAACCAGCTAAATACATCACGCGAAAAGAAACGTAAGAAAACTTACCGCTGATCCACGTGCCGTTGAAGCTCTTCGGAGATAACGAGCCCGCCAGCCATTCTTCGAGAGAAATACCAGGTGCGGCTGGCGTCCCCGTGCCGGTGAAATCCGGGCTTCCGGTCAGAAGAATCGCCGCCGCGATGACCAAACCAAGGACGACCACGCCGACCAAGCAGCCGGCCAGCAACCGCCGCCAATTCCGCTGCTTGTTCTTCGTCATCAGGTCCTGGAACAATTACCGGAAGACCGGCGGATTAAACCTTGTCCACTCGGCTCGCAACGAGCTGTACGTGTTCCCCGCGAGCTGGACGACGTTTTGCCTCGGATGGGGAAGTTAGCAAGTCGACAGATGCTCGGGATGGAGAAGCAACCGGATGTTCCGAGAGGTTTATGACGAGGATAAGGACGGTTTAACCAATGCGGTTTGGAATCGAACAATCTCGGATGTTCTTTCAACGGTGAGTTTACAAAGGTATATAAAGTCTGATAAAATCTGATTTTAGATTACTTACCGTGTAATTTATATATTGAATTTAAAGTTAATAGACTCCTTTATTGGTAAATGACCTCCTTAATTTATAATTGAATATTTTTGTAAATACAGAGAGAGGTTCACCTGGAGTGCCTTTTGTTACACGAGGCGAACTTTCGGGGAAGAAGTTGCAGAATGCGATGCTGGAAATATTTTTCTTCAATCGTCGTTTGTTTCATATTACATTCTGTTTTTTTTTATTTTTGTGATTAATCTATAGTATTTGTTTTTGGATATTCTCGTCGGTGAAAAGAGATAAAGTCTGTGTGAGATAATTTAATGTACTAAGATTGGGATGAATGTACAGCTTTTGGAATAAAACGGAAGCAACAGCCTAAGAACTTCATAATTATACACACTGCATTTTTACTTCATGTCTATCACTGTTTCGTATAAACATTTTTTATTTAAACAATTTTACATATTTACTTTCTCACCGTTGGTTCCTAATTCCTAGGTTAGTCGGACAATCAATTTTTTTTCTCTCATGTAAAAGATTATTATACAAGATCAACAGAGTAAATAGAGACTAATCAAACGATTTTTGGTAGTGAGAAAAAATCGTTAAAAGTATTTCTCTCGAAGTAGGAAGCATCAACTCGTCTCGTTATTTATCACCGAGCGTGTCAATTTTTTCTTCGACCCTAACTTGGAAGAAGGTCCATCTGGGCCTGCAACAATTCCTCCGTACTCTTTTGTGTTTACCTTCTGAATCTTTTCAACACGACGTTTAACTTCCCTGATGAGAAATTCATTCGTGCATTTCCCCGGCTATAGAAAGCGTTTCGTGCAAGACGAAAGGCGCTTTAAGCCTGCTTCACATCAATCATAATCGCGAGATTCTGCGACTAAGAATTGCATGTTTTACTCTTCTCACGTAAATAATTACAGTTGACATGATTCGACGAAAAATGAAAAAATAATACGTGTACAATTATATTTCTCTCTCAATAAATTTCACTAAAAAAACACACGCGCAATGGCAAAAACAAAAATATAAAGCATTCGTCGTTTTTACGAATACAGTAAATATTCCTTTTTCCTCTTTTTTTTTTTTTTTAACAAACAAGAAGAAATGACTGCATTTGATACCGAACCACGAGTATACAGAATATCCACGATATCGAAATCTCCAATATTTAGATTTATTTATTTTATTCACACCGAACACTTTGTGCTTCCCTCTTTATTCTAACATTATGTAACAGTTGAACGTCATTGTATAAAATTCTGTTAATTTAACGTTATTCATAATCCTAACAAAAATGAATTTTAAAAATACCTATTTAACTGTCTTCTTTTACATAAAAAGAAAAAAAAAAACAGTCAAAATTTCCCCTCTCTCACCTGCGAAAAAATAAAAGCATCCTATATTTTAAAAACTAATCTTTGTACTAATCTGAACGCAACAGTTTTAAAAATCCTTCTACATATGAAATATAGTTCAAATTTCTCTACCCCTGTTTTTTCAACAATTTTGCCTACGAAAGAATAAAAATGAATACCGTGTAATTTAAAAATCTCGTCACTACCTGGAAAATATTTTAAAAATCCTCCTCTGTGTGAAAAAAAAAAATTGAAATTTCTCGTCCCAATTTTCCTGACAACTCCATCTACGAGAAAATAGGAATGGCCACCCTATAATTTGAAAACCAATCTTGCCATTAAATCCCCCTACCCCGTGTGAAAAATAATTAAAATTTCTGCTCTTCCATTTTCCTCGCAACTCTATCTAGAAAAAAATAGAAATGGCCATCCCATAATTTAAAAACGAATCTTATCATTACGCAGAAAGGAAGAAATTTTTTAAATCTTCTTCTACATGAAATAATAATTAAAATTTCGGCTCTTCCATTTTCCTGACAAGTCCATCTGCAAAAAACCGCCAGCCCACAATTTAAACACCAATCCTATCATTAGACAGAAAGAAACAAATTTTAAAATCCTCCAACCACACAGAAAATAATTAAAACTTCCGTTCCTTCATTTTCAACTGACAACTTCATCTACGAGAAATTAAAAAGGGTTCTGCCACCCCACAATCTAGAAACTAAAACAAATCTTATCGTTGGACGAAAATTTTAAAAACCCTCCACCGCGTGAAAAAAAACAATTAAAATTCTTGCTCCTTCATTTTCCTGACAGTTAGTTACCATCTACGATAGAATGGCCATCCCGCAATCTAAAAACCAATTTCGCGTCATTACGTAAAAAAAAAAGTTTTTCAAATCCTTGCCTGCGCGCAAACAGCAATTAAAATTTCTGCTCTCTTTCATTTTCCACCAGCGGGAAAACGGAGACGAGCCACCTCGCAATTTAAAAACCAACACCGGTCAACGTCTTCCCTGATCGAACCAAGTAAAAAAAGCTAAAACTCTCCATTCGAGGGACGTGCCGATTTTCTACGGCGACTGCGCTTCCTGTCCTCGATCGCAATGTCCATCGAACTTCGACGAATGACACGCGTGGCGGTGAACCACGATCGTTTCGTTCCATTCATCCGATTCGACTCTCCGTGTGAAGGTGGCCTTAGGGTCGCGGCACGCGCCATCAACTTTGAATGTGAGGGAGGGAAATTCAAAGAATGGACGAGAGGATTCGCCGAGACGGAATAATCGTCCCTCCGGGCGTATTCCGCCCGCCTTTTCCAAAACCTAAACAAATATCGATTAGAACTCGAAGCCCCCCTCGTCAAACAACGAACAAACCTCAGCGACTGAGCTTTTCAATTATCGCTGAGAACGATATCCCATAGTCGTGCCTCGTTTAAGCAACCTTTCTCTCTTCCGGTGATTACTAGCTAATTATTCAAAGATAATTGAACGTCGTTTGTACGCAGTTGAGCGCCGTAAAAAATATTACATTCCGTGATAAGTAACTCGCGGGGAATTTTCACGCTAAATCGCACGGCGTTTGTTTCTTGCTTTTTGAATTTATTAAAAAAAAAAAAGAAAATCGAGAACCTCGGCTGGAAATTAATTTTCGTTAAAATTAATTTACAGATTGGATCGTAAATTAATTCCCATACAAGCAACACGGAGCAACGATTTTTCTTCATTCCACGATCTGAGCTGGAATATTTTATGAAAATTTACGTTTCAAAAATTTACTCTCGTGGCAAATTTATATTTTCAACGAATGAAACGAGTTACGAATCACTTTTCGCGCTAAATGTTATATGTACGGCCTACTCAGCATATTTTAAAACATAGATTAGATCATTTGTAACAACACGGCGTCTCGTTTAAATCGAGGCTCAACATTTCTTTTTTTTTCTGTCTCTCTCTCTCTCTCTTTTTTGCATCACGATCTGCAGGCTGCGCGAATTTTTATGCAAATTCCCCGCGCGTCTGGGAGAATACAATTAAAATAATAGAACCACGCTTGCAAGTTGTTCTATCTACTGAAAGTTCGTGAGAAAAGCGGCGCACTTGGGATGTATATTATAAATCGCGTTACCTAGCGAGTAACACACTAGCGTTTAAGTGAGAGCAAACATTTTTCTACTCAGTGATAACTGGACCGCAGACTTTTATGCAAATTCATAATTTTACGAGTACGATTAAAAAAAAAAGAAGAAGAAGAAGAAGAGGAAGAGAAAAGATGAAGCTGCTCTACGCCGCCAAACGCTTCTTCGTCTCTATGCTATTTTTATACGAGAAAACATTCGTTACCAAAGAGAAAAGGCTCTCGAGCCGGTTAAATCGAGATTCCTCGCCCATCCCCCAGCCTGGAAGAAAATTAAAATTCGCCCAAGACGAAACGCGTCGAAATTGAATTTCACTCGAACGAAGGATCATTACGCGCGTCTGTTGTTCGCAACGCGGAGGGACTTCCGGTTCCGTAAGAGCTTCTCGTTCGTAGGTTTATCCGGAATCTCCTCTGGATGACTGGTCGTTCGCGAGTAAGCCACCGTGAGAGGGGATGGGCACCATTTCACCTGGCTATTCCGAACGCTACCGCGCCCTATAAATCTAGATATCCGTGAATTCCGCGAGAGAGTAATCGCGGCGGGATCGTCTGCGTAAACGACTCGCTCGGATTCTTCCGCTGTTCGAAATTCGCCTCTCTGCATACCTAGATCGTTTAATCCCTCGAATTCTTACGGCTGTCGCGATCAATGAGAATGGTTCATCCACCCCTATAAATCACACGGACTATCCCCCCTCTATCTCGCGAGGGAGGGGGAGAATTATAGTATTTTTTAATCGGCCGGAGGATCGTTGCAGAATTTACGGCCGGCGAGGGGAAATAAAATTCCGTGGGGCACGTTTTAATAAAACGACCGGGATCTTTAGAAATCTCACGATAGCGGTAGCTTCCCTCTGTGAAGTGTCGACCCGCGAAATTCGATATCGCGTTCGAGAATACGGAGATTTCACACACAGACGAGAGAGTTATTTAGTATCTTTTTCGTTCGATTTTTCATACTTTCGATTGTCATTCGTTTGGCAATATCTTGACTAGTAATTATTTCGATGTATCATATACGTAGAGTCACTTCCTATTAAAATAAATCCGTGAGTTTTTTTTATTTCTCTCTTCTTTTCACACATTGAAGTTAATTTAAAATTAATAAACTTGGTTTCTTCTTACGTTTCGATATTAGAAAAAAGGAAACACGGAGAGAAACTTTCGGTCAATCCTGTATTATATTCCAAGATTGTTTTCATTATCCTGTGTTATATTCCAGG